ATCTTTTATCCTTGAACCCGCGGACTCCGCCGCCCCGCCCCACCGCGTCGCCGCCGTGAAGGACGTCTTCGACCGCAACGGCGAGCGCGAGAGCTTGCAGGACTGGTTCGCCGTCGTCGCGGATGATGTCGTCGCCGTGCTCAAGGAGGTCGTCAAGCCCAGCGTCACCACGCGCCGCTTTGTCAATGAGTATGTCAGCAAGGCGGGCAGCGAGGGAGGGTATGAACTGGCGCGCAACGATGTCGACCTCATCGAATATTTGCACGCAAGCGGGCTGCGCGTGGTGCCCGTGGACACGCGTGAGGAACTAAAGAAGCTCAAGGACGGAACCAAGGAGATCCCGGCGCAGCAGTCGACAAACCATCTCCTGGCGTGCGCTCCGACGGCGTTTCAGTTCAACGCGTCTGCGGCGGCGGACAACCACTTCATGGGAGCTGACGCGGGCGGGGCCGCGGGCGAGGAGCAAGCGGTGCTGCGGCGCAAGGTGCTGACCGAGTTTGCCGGACTGCACGACAAGCTGACGGACCGGCGTGACGGGGTCGGGGCGTTGGTGCATCTGTTCACGCACGAGGACTGGCACAACACGCCGGACGCGTGCTTCCCCAACAACACGTTCTCCACGCACACCAACCTGGAAACCGGGGACTCGTGCACGCTGGTGCTGTACCCGATGAAGGACGAGACGCGGAGGACCGAGCGGCGGCTGGTGTCGCGGCTGCTGCAGTCGGGGCGATACACGCAGGTGTACGACCTGACGGGCGAGGAGAGGTCCGGGCGCCCCGCGTTCCTGGAAGGGACCGGGTCGCTGGTGCTGGACCGGGTGCAGCGGGTGGCTTACGTGGCGCTGTCGCAGCGTTCGGACGTGCGGCTGGCGCGGATGTGGGCGCGCGTGATGGGGTACGAGCTGGTGGCGTTCACGGCGACGGACCGGAACGCGCGGGCGATCTACCACACCAACGTGATGATGTCGGTGGGGACGGGGGTGGCGGTGGTGTGCGCGGAGAGCATCGCGGACGCGGGCGAGCGGGCGGCCGTGGTCGGGCGGCTGCGCGAGACGGGGCACGCCGTGGTGGAGATCTCGCACGGGCAGATGGAGCGGTTCTGCGGAAACGTGCTCGAGGTCGAGAGCTTTTATGGCGAGCAGGTGATGGTGATGTCCAGCCGCGCGCACGCGGCGTTCACGCCGCCGCAGAGGGAGGTCATGCTGGAGCACACGGCGAGGCTGGTGCACTCGGATATCAGCACGATCGAGCGCGTCGGCGGTGGAGGCGTGCGGTGCACCATCGCAGAGCTGCACTAGCGGTTGGCTGTTTGGCGCGCGGAAGGCTGGAGGGGGGGGAGGGGGGTGGGGGTACGT